CTTATGCATATAGAGGTATTAAAAAAAATATTTTTTAATTCATGTGCATATGTATATGTTTTTTTTTTAAATATATATATATATATATATATATATATATATATATATATATATATATATATATACACACACAAAAAACATATGAATATGCATTAAAATGCATTTTTTTTGATAAATTCTTTTTCTAAATATTAATTTTGAAATGTAATAAATATTTTTGCCGATTTAAAAAGTAAAAAAAGAAAAAAAAGTAATAATAATAATAATAATAATAATAATTTTTTTTTTCAAATAAGTGAAAATATACCTTATATTTCAAAAATAAGAATTAAAAAATAATTTTTTTCAAAAAAAAGCATTTTTATAGCATATCGTATTTTTTTGAACATATATACATTTAAAAAAAGTGCATATAATGTTTTTTTCAATTTTTTTATTTTTACTTTTTGTAATTCTCTTTATATATATATATATATATATATATATATATATATATATATATATATATATATATATATATATATATATATATATATATATATATATATATATACACATGCGAAATTTGATACCTAAATTCATTATAGATAAAAAGTTTGTTGGTTCTTTTTTTCAATTTAGTTCTCCATTGATCTTGTTTCTCTCTCTCTCTCAATATATATATATATATATATATATATATATATATATATATATATATATATATATATATATATATATATATATATATATATATATATAGAGAGAGAGAGAGAGAGAGAGAGAAGATCAATGGAGAACTAAATTGGAAAAGAGAACTAGTAAGGACTCCTAAATAAGCGAGGAATGCAATTACAAATCTTTGTTGTATTATTAAAAAATAAAAGGGGGAGATTTGATTTCATTTATTGGTAATATCTCGAGAGATGATATGACGGTTTAGTAATTATGTGCGAGATATTGATTATTTTCGATAAATGTTAAATAGTTTGTGGTTAAAATACAAAAACGAAAAAAAAGAAAGAAAAGATAAATCTCCCCGATTCCCCATTCTCCTCTCTCTCTCTCTCTCTCTCTCTGTGTGTGATTGGCTGACGGGTTTTTTTCCACCTATTTTGTTTTTGGTCATAACATTTTTATTCATTGAAAATTAATTATTATTATTATTATTATTATTATTATTATTATTATTATTATTATTATTATTATTATTATTATTATTATTGTAAAAAAACTAGATAAAAATTCTCCAAAAATCATAAAAATTTAATATACTAGTGACTTTATAAAAATAGTTTTTTAAAAATAAGTTTTTGAAGTCTTTATTTTTAATTTTAGAAATGTTAGATTTTTTTTTTAAATATTAAACATAATATGATCCAAATGTTTATGATTCAAACAAACTTTTTTTGATTCAACTTGTTTATAATTCTTAATTTGTTATGATCTAAAATATTACTCAAATATTTTATAATCATTAAATAAATATTTTATGATTCAAAATATATAACGATCTATAATTTTTTAACAAATAATTGAATATATTATTGATCTAAAATTATATGATTTAAAAATGGTTTGATTCAAAATATTATGATTTAAAATAATTTGAGCCAATTTTTGTTATCCAAAAATAAGATGATTAAAAAAAGTAAGAGCGAAAAATATTACGATCTTTAATATTCTTCTTATTTGAATTTTATAATTGTTAAACATTAAAAACTAAATTGATTTTTAGTTTTAAAAAGAAATCAAAAAAAAAAAAAAAAAAAAAAAAAACAAAAAAATGAAAAAAAAATAAACAAAACACTATAATCTTCAAGTATGTAGCAAAGAAATTATAAAAAACTACGAAAAAAACCCGATAAATATAAAAAAAAAACTAAAAAAATAAAAACTAAAAAAATGTTAAAACCGAGTAAATCTCTATTTTTTTATTTAAAAAAAAACCAAAATAGACGAAAATAAATAATAAAACCCATTTAAATGACTATCCATGGACGTTCGCCGTGAAAAAAATCTTTGAGTCCTATTAATTACCATGGAAATGGATCACATTTAAGAAATATTAGTGTTAAAAAAGCATGTTGAACATAATATAAACCAAAATGTGATGATTTAAAATATTTACGATTCATAAAAAAACTTTTGATTCAACTTGCTTATGGTCCTTAATTTGTTATGATATAAAAATATTGAGACTCAAGTATTTTACAATTCTTAATTATATCTTTTATGAATCAAAATTAAATTATTCAAAATATATAATTATCCATAATTTTTTTGAACAATTTTTTTAATTGAATATATTATTGATCCAAAATCATATTTTTCAAAATGATTTGATTTAAAATACTATGATTAAAAACAATTTGATTCAGAAATTTAAGATCCAAAAATTATATGGTTCAAAAATAATAAGAACGGAAAATATTATGATTTTTAATATTCTTCTTTTTTAAAATTTTAAAAATGTTAAGCATTAAAAATTTGAACCGATATTTACTTTAAAAAATTAAAAAGAAAAAAATAAAAATAAACAAAAACACTAGAATCTTCAAGTATCTAGTAAAGAGATTAAAATATAAAAACAATGAAAAAAATTTAAATTTTTTTAGAAAAAAAAACAAAATAAAAAAACGAAAAAAATATAAACCTAAAAACCGGGTATATATATGTTTAATTTTTAATTAAAAAAAAAACCCCACTTATTGTTACACATGATTAAATCATAGAGTTTGTATGAATTACCACGAGCATCAAACGCATTTGAACGCGCCACGCAAAGTGGAGGATTGTCCTCTCAGTTCTCAAAATCTTTTGAGTCTTAATCGGAACCAGATCATATATATATATATATATATATATATATATATATATATATATATATATATATATATATATATATATATATATATATATATATAGAGAGAGAGAGAGAGAGAGAGAGAGAGAGAGAGAGAGAGAGAGAGAGAGAGAGAGAGAGAAATTGAAGAGCAATCTCAAAATCATGTTTTGCATTTATCACAAAATTAGGTCGTGTACGAAAGAAATTGAAGAGCAATCTCAAAATCATGTCATGTACGAAAGAAATTGAAGAGCTATCACACTCATGCGTCATCTTAACTAAAAGACGTCTCGAGTCGTCACCATCACCTAACCTTGTTCTTGTTGATAACTTTGTTTGCTCCGAAAATACTTGCAAAAATAATGAGGCAATGGATTGCCATTTTTATTCGTCTGCTACCACGATATGAACCCCAATCAAGAGATAAAGAAGTTCAAGTGGTTTGATAGGAAGCAAATAGAGAGAAGTGAAATGGATTCGAGAAATGAAATTGATTTACTTGGTTTGTGCTCCAAAATTTTAGTTGGTCCTTGTTTTATCCAAAATATCACAGCTTACCAATTTCAAACGTACAAGAGTAGAACACATTTTACTCTTACATTTTACTAGTGTTATAAACCTTCTTTAAGATGTGTCGCTCAAGTTACAATCTTGGAGTATAACTCTAAGACTTGTTTTGGAATGAAGTATGACTAATCTTCTTGATTTAACCACTTCAACAATCTCTTCTTAGCCATAAGAATGCACTAAGATGTCCTTAGAGGATGAATTGTAATATGGTCTCATAATCATTAAGATGATCATAAAACATGATACTAAAGTACTCTCCCATCTTTTTAGATTTGAGAAACTTTTATCTTTCTGCCTTATTTGATTCTTCTCATTCATTCTGCCATACATTGAAACTATTCCACTGTTTCAGAATTATACTTAAGCTTCTATGTATAACCATATTTACTAAACTTTAGTAAATTAGGACGAATACTCTTATCGATCTTTGGTGGTGGACTTTGACTAGTGCACAAAAAAGTGTACTCAACCCCTTATTCCTTCAATTGACTCACATATACATGTAAACAAGGAATTAGTCTTAAGTTTCCAAAGATGAAAAATTCTCATTCATCATACAATATAACTTGCATGATTCCAAGTTTCAGTCCAATTGAAACTTGGGTGATGAGAATCTTTCCTTATTTGGTAAATTTAGACACTACCACAAATGAAAGAATCAAATTCATATTTCCAATATTGCTAGAAACATACAAACATCAATTTTCCAAAAATGCCATTGTAAGGAGATATAAAATAAAGTAAAAGACAAAACTGCAAATTTGGTCCTTGTGGTTTGCCAAAACCTTTGGATGGGGTCCAAATAGTTTCCAGCTTGCACCAAAGGTCCAAAATCAAGGTTTTCTTGGGTTTTTAGTCCATTCCGTCATTGACCGTTTGTTTGGAGCCGTTAGTGCCTTCACGTGCCCTCCATGTGAGGGCATTTTGGTTATTTTAGGTCCTAGCCTCCGTTGCCGCCACTTCAATTAATAAGATTGCAGACTGTACTCACTCCTTCGTCTTCTACTCATACCTCTTGATTCAAACGTAAAAACCCTAACGATCATCTGAAAATTGGATTGTGTTCATGCTTTTGAAAATGTGGGGACTTAGAAATGTTGGAGAGATTGTCAACGTTCAAGAAGTTTATGGTAAGATTCAAACTTAGAAAAACTCTGTATTTTATGATCAAGCTTCAAACTTTGAAAAACTCTAACTAATAATCGTCTCTTTCTGTTTTGAAGATGGTTACCCCAACATATTCTCTATTGAACTTCATCACGGAGGGAGTTTCACAAAGTTTCCAAATATCAGGTATATTAATGGCCAAGTAAGGTACTTTGATGTTGTCGACATTGATGAATTTTCTGTTCATGAACTAGACTCGATGATGAGAGAATTAGGGTATGATGGTACTGAAATCATGTATTACCATTTCCGTTTGCCTAATGAAGGATTTGACTTTGGACTCCGAGCATTAGGTAACGATGATGATGTGCGTAATCTCTCACGATATGTTACCCATAATAACAAAATGATTAAAGTGTACACAGAGCATGGTCAAACGAACTTGCTTACATATTTTATGTCCCCAACTGGTCCAAGAAGGGTTATAATAGAAGACATGGAGAAGCAGGATTCCATTAGACCCTCATCACCTGTAGTTGCTCATGAAGTGGTAACTCCAATCCAAATTGATGTTGGTGAGGGTGATTTAGGGTTAGCATTAACCTTATACAAATCAGCAACACCTGAATTTAGTAGGTCTAAAGGTTGGAAACATAGTAAAGGGGCATCGTCTTGTAGTAGAATGCTTAAATTGGATTGGGAAGGTGCTGAAAAAACAATGGCAAGTGGTGAAGTTGATAAGGGTAAGGGTGTAGAAGGATTTGTAGATGAATTTGTTGTAGTTGATGCAGAAAAAGAGTTAAACAAAGAGATTGATGTGAATGAAGAACTTGATGTGAACAAATCCAATGGTGAGGGTGTAGAAGGATTTGCAGATGAGGGGTATAGAGTTGTCATGGATAATGATCCTCAAGGAGTCAATGAATTTTCAACTAACATCAACATAGATGATGAGTTAATGACAAACTTTCAACCTTTTGAAGGGTTTGAAGACCAAGATAGCATCCCATTTAATGGGTTTGAAGGCCAAGATAATATTCCTTTCAATGATGAGTGGAGACAAGAGGAGCCTGATGACATTGAGTTTGAGAATCAAAACAGTGAAGATGAAGATAGTGACTTTATGATTGATGAGGACAACATAATTGAAGATGTTGACGTTGACATGGAGGATTTCAATCTAAATATTGATACAGAAGCAGAGTTCAATGGATGTCAAAGAATGGGTGGTCAAAGAAATGAAGATAGTGATGAAGAAGATGATTTGGAGGTAATTGACAATGACGAGTGGGATTCACTAAGTGATGACTCAGGGGACAACAGGAAAAGAAGAGAAATGATCAAAGAGCTGGGGAAACAAACCTTATGTTCTGCTGGTGAGGTGCACAAGGTAGCTTTTCATATTGGGCAGAAATATAAAGCCAAGAAAGAATTGAAAGATAAAATTGACCTGCATGCTTTAGAGACAAGGAGGAATATCTCATTCACAAAAAACGACAAGAGTAGATTAACAGCTGTTTGTGATGGAACTGTAGTTTTAAATGCAAGTGGGGTAGGTGGACCTACCTCTGGGAAAAAGGTAAAGGGTAAAGATGTAAACTCAGATAAAGTTAAATGCACATGGAAACTTCATGCATCTAGGTCAAGTGAACAGGACTATTGGTTTATTAAGACCTATAATCAGAAACACATCTGCCTCCAAACACGAAAAATCAGATCTTGCACAGCAACATTTCTTTCCAAACGTATTATGGATCAGATTGAAGCTAATCCTGGACTGCCTGTTCGTGCCCTACAAGAGCAACTCCAATCAACTTATGGAGTTAGTATTTCAGAAGAGAAAGCATTTAGGGCAAAAGCATTAGCCACCAAAAATGTTGCAGGGGATTACGTAAAGCAATATGCAGCTTTGAGAGACTATGTACTAGAGCTACAAAAGACAAATGAAGGTACAACTGTAAAGATTGATGTGGTTTCAGAACCTGTGGTTTCATCCCCAACCAGGCAATTCAGAAGGATATACGTGTGTTTAGGTCCTTTGAAGAAAGGTTTTAAGGCAGGTTTGAGAGAATTTTTAGGCTTAGATGGAGCCTTCATGAAGCGACCTTTCCCAGGTCAAATACTAAGTGCAGTTGGTGTTGATTCCAACAATGGAACCTACCCATTGGCATATTCTATTGCTGAAAGTGAAAACACTTCAAGTTGGAAATGGTTTCTTCAGTGTCTTGCAGAAGATCTTCACTTGTATTCAAATTCCAACTTCACCTTTATCAGTGATAGATAGAAGGTACTATAGTTACATTTAATATTGCATACTAGTTTCATTACAAACTAATGTTAATTTCTTATTTTGTTTTGGTGACAACAGGGTCTTCTACCAGCCATAGAACAATTGTTCCCTAATGCAGAACACAGGTTCTGTATTAGACACATATACCAGAACATGAGGAAGTTATTTAAGACTACAGAGTACAAGGAGTATTTTTGGAGGTGTGCTACAGCCACCACCATACCAGAGTTTGAAGCTGTAATGGTAGAGCTAAGGAATTATGACATAGAAGCATATCAATGGCTCTTGAAAATCCCTCCACATCATTGGGCTAGAAGTCATTTTTCAGGTATTTTCTCAATTTGTTGTCTTATTTTTTATTGTAGTATAGATATACACTAACTGTTGTTTTGTTAATGAACTATTAGGAAGGGCAATTTCAGACATGTTATTGAATAACCTTTGTGAAGTGTTCAATAGCAAACTTGTAAAAGGGAGAGACAAACCCATTATCAGTTGTTTGGAGTTCATCAGAGAGTACCTTATGAAGAGAGTATGCAATGTGATGAAGGTGTTAAACAAGTGTCAAGGTCCATTAACTCCAACTGGTACTAGGATTTTGGAAGCAAACACAACACTAGCTAGTAAGTATCATGCACGATGGAATGGGGGACAAAAGTATCAGGTTAAAGGTCCATGGAATGATCAACATGTGGTGGACATGGAGAAAAGGGAGTGTAGTTGTAGAAAGTGGGAGCTTACTGGAATTCCTTGCAAACATGCTATTGCAAGCCTAAATGAAATGGCAGACAACAATGAAAAGGTAGGAGAACTATACACCTATGTGCATAAGGTGTATTGGCTTGATACATGGAAAGAGATGTACTCCTTCAAGGTGGAGCCTATCAAAGGTAGAGCCATGTGGCCTAAGAGTGACTGCCCAACAACTCTTGTGCCTCCACCACACAACAAAGCTATAGGCAGGCCAAAAAAGAAAAGAAGGATTACAGCAGAGGAAAGGATTGAAATCCAGCAACGTAAGAGGCAAGCAAACAGTCAAAGTCAAAATGATAATGAAACTCAATCACTGAGCAGGAAGTTTTTGACTGTGACATGTAGTAAGTGTAAGCAAAAGGGTCACAATGCCAGGACCTGCAAGGCCAAAGATGGGAATTGATGTTTAAGTACTTTTTATGTTTGTCAAGACTTGTTAATGCACTTTAGTTGGTACTTTGTTGCCTTTTTTTTGTTCCATTTTGATAATGTACTTTGATGCCCTTTTGATAATGTACTTTAATGCCCTTTGTTGGTAATGATTGTGTTTTGACATTTATCTGTTATGGTCCCCTTTTGGTAATGTTGTTTGTTATTTGTTTATGTTGTACTGTCAAAGCATGAAGATGTTATGGCAATGTACTTAATGTATGCATATAAAACCATTACAATTGCATATTCAAACGTAGAGAAAAACCATTACACTTGCATATCATGTCAAGATCAAACCTTTATAATTTCATATTCATAAAAGGATAAAACCATTACACTTCCCATTGTCATAAAAGCATTACATATACAATGATCCAAAAGATAACACTTTTAAGTGGTTACTACCAACAAAAACATATATAAACCACAATTAAACCTTCTAGCACCAAAAGACAACATTTTTAAGTGGTTACTACCAACAAAAAAGTCCTAACCTCTAATTCCTATTTCCAAAACAGCACAAACAACAGAAACAAAACCCACGAGACAAGCAAACACATCTTCAGCTGGCCCACTTCAACCTCATACCTATTCATTGTTCTCAACAGTCCTGGTATGATAACAGTTGATCTTTGACACATAGGGGGATCGAACCACCCCAAAAATGCACATCTGGATCCCTACAAGAATACATTAAAGTAGAAGAGTTATTGCATAACTACCGAAATATCATAACCTAATATGAGTTTGCTTACCATTTTAGGGCATGCGTAGAAACGACGACCAGGGTTTCGTGAAGTCCATGAGGTTCGCACAACAGCAACATTCCCACAGAAGCAGAGCACCATTTTTGAATCTCGTAGCAGTAGAAGTAGACGAGAGACGAAGAAGAAGAATCCTTTGAGAGACGAAGAAGAAGAGGAAGAGGATTAACTTCTCTGTAAATAAAAATGAAGAAGAGGAAGAGGATTGCGTATGAGTATGTATATAAAGGAGAAATATGATATTATTTAAAATAAGTACCTAAAATGACCAAAATGCCCTCACATGGAGGGCACGTGAAGGCACTAACGGCTCCAAACAAACGGTCAATGACGGAATGGACTAAAAACCCAAGAAAACCTTGATTTTGGACCTTTGGTGCAAGCTGGAAACTATTTGGACCCCATCCAAAGGTTTTAGCAAACCACAAGGACCAAATTTGCAGTTTTGTCAAAGTAAAACAAAATTTTATTTATTTATAAAATGCGGAAAAACTTTTTCCTTACAATGCAACTTTAAATGAAAACTATGCTATTACATATTTCCTAGCAATCTATCATAACTCCTAAGTAGTAGCTAAAAAAATCTGATCTTCGAACCATGCGATTGAAATCGATCTTCGCGATCAGATTCAACATACTCTTCCTTTAAGTTTCCTTCCCTTTGCTTTATCCTGCCAAACATCAAAATGCAACCTAGCCACATCCTGTATTAAGAATCTACAATTAGAAACTTAACAGAGTTAGATAGTGTACTTACCTGAAGCAGAGTCAAACTTTTTGATTCTTCCTTCTCTCAGATCTTTCAGGTAGTTAGGGCAGCTTCGCAACCAATGCCCCTTCTCTTGACAATGAAAACATATAGACTCTTTAGAAATGGTACACGAGACTATCACAAACTTAGCCTTTCCCTTTACCTTTTGGTCAACCGAGTTGACCAAGGCCGATCCCTTTCCATTGGGAAGAGAAAGCTTTTCTGGACTTCCAGTGTTACCATTGTTAGTATCCATGGAAGTTTGAGAAATAGACCTTCCACCCAAATTTACTTTTCCAGTGCGCCAAAACATTTCTGATTCAGCAGCAACAAGCAAATAGGTAAGATCAATAAGGGTCATGTCGTGATCTATCACATAGTAGTTCTTAATGAACTCACTATACGACTCAGAAAGTGACTTAAGAACCTAGTAAATAGCCAACTTCCTTGGAACAATGACACCTAACATTCTCAACCTATCAATGTGTGACTTCATTTCCAAGACATGAGTACACACAGGTCTTCCATCTTTATGTTTAATTTCAAGTAGGGCTAGAGTGATTTTGAACTTTTTAAGTCTTCAAGCTAGTGGGTCAGCCAGAATAAATGGAGGAGGTGGAGGAAGAGAAATATGATTTCCATGATCCAATCGCGGGACATCATCTTCATTAGGAAAGCTTGTTCCAAGAGATTTGGAAAGACCATAGTTGTCTGAACCAGACATCTATATTGAGAGAAACTCAAGTTAGTTGATTTAAGTCCTTAATAGAACACCCAATATGAAATATTAAGGCTAGGACTCAACACAATATTTTATAACTTGGAAGAGAGATACCATAATCCAAGCTACAAAATATTTGAAGGTAGGCGAATGACGATTCACCAATTTCAACCATGAAAAACGAAATAAAAATTAGGTTTGAATTGGTTTGAAACTCCTAGATCTTTTGAGATTCATTAAACTTTTCAATGACATGTTTAAATCTCGATTGTGCCCTCTTAAGTTTGTGATTGGGTTACCGAGGATCACAAACAAGGTGTGAATAACCATGCAAATTAACTTGGTACACTTTATATTTATCACCTAATCGATGTGCCGATTGCCCACACACGCTCCACCGATCTATAATAAAAATTAAGTCACCCTATGCCACTCTTACTAGTCAAGGTTAGTGTGCTAGTTACCCGAACACGCTCCACCAACAACTTGCTAAGGTACAAAGTGTAATTTCATGGGTTAGCACCAAATTCACATTTTCCTAAAGTTTCTAAGATTGGGAATTTATAAAAGGTTTAGTTACTTTAAATTTATCATTATACTTATGATGAGAATTATAGTCCTTGTCCTACCTGTTCAGCTAACGACCCTCCAACAATCAAGGAAGCGGTGGGTGATAGTGGACACCCATTAAACTGTTATTTTATAGGCAGTAACCTTATACCCCCTTATAGACCAGCTTCGTGAATGAGGCCTACTAACGGTAAGACTGACTTGATCTTATATATATATATATATATATATATATATATGTATATATATATATATAAAATTAAATTATAATACTATAAAGTATAAGGGTTAAATTTTAACTTTTAAAACTCTATTAAAGTGTGTGTGAGACTTTACAAATTCCAAAACTTAAGGGTAAGTTTTGAACTATTCAAAAACTTTTGGTTTTTCATAACTTATGAATTTAATTAAGGTTTTACAAAATTTAATGAAAAGACTCTTGAACATCCATAACTTGAGGACAAGTTATGGAGTCCATAAAACTATTTATGAGAAAGACTCTTCAATTATCTAACCTATGAGTTTTTAATGGATCTTTACAAGAAATGACTTTTGGTAATCCATAACTTGTGGAAAAAATTATGGACTCCATTAAAAAAACATTTAGATTAAGAATTAACTAACAAACAATTTGCAAATAATTCCTATGTTCTACCAAAACTCATAAGTGTATGAACAATCATATCAACTATTTGAAGAATCATATAAACACATATAAAACTTGAAATTTTGATAATAACCTTGAAATTGGTTTACCATAATCATTACCACATCAACAGTAGGTTTTATAAGTCCAAAATAGTTTAAGGTAATGATTCTAGACCAATTCCAGCACCAAAACTCGAAAATCTACACTCAAACTTAGCGAGTGCATGAACTACACCAAAAATTAGCGAGTGCATGAACTGACTTGGCGATTTGGTTGAATATATGCATGGGCTCATCGAGTTGCATTAGCGACTCGGCGAGTCAACTAGACAGTGTGTAGAAATTTGACATCTTTCAGCAATTTGCATCAAGTGTAAAGAAAACAAGCCTAGACTCTGATACCACTGAAGGGTTTTGAGCATTCTAACACTCCTATGGTGTACATTCAACCCTATAAACCTTGGATCTATGTTTTCTCTATTATACATGCAAATATTCAATATTCCAAGGTTTCATACTAACTAGCATAATATGAAGCAACTATACTACAAAACCCTATTTAGATGACATACCTTTTGATGGAGCTTGAAGTCTTGAACTTAAGAGCTTAGCCCCAATAGTGTGGAAGCCTCAAGTGGAATCACAAATCATTAAAAACACATCGGAAAACTTGAGATAATAGTAAGCACACTAGAAATTGGCCCACTCTTGTTTACTCACACACTAGTGCCATTTCATGTGCCAAGGACCCCTTTATATAGTGTGGTGGATTAGGGTTACATTCATGTAAACCCTAATACCCATGACCTTTCATTTTATAAGATCCATGGGTTAAAGCTCCATGGACTATCCATGGACTTTCCATGCGAGAGTAGCCCTTTCTAAATAAGCATTGGCCCACTCTATATAAATATAAGAGTCCATACTTAATTAGTTACCTTTTGATCACTAAATTAATTCCAAATTAATTCTAGATCAATACTAATTAAATACCAATTAAATAATATGATTTCATATTAATATATTACAACTTATAATATATTAATAAATGATAGACATACTATCCTCAAAAGACTATCCATACAAATTGTTCCGGTGAAGTGCAACTCAAATGGACCATGCTACTCTCGGGTCGAGTACATACCAATAATAGGTACGGGCTTAGACATCTAATCCAACATCATTTTGACAAACATTCTTCTTGTTCTTCATTTATTGTCTTTACGTTGATCATTATCTTCTCTCTTCATTAATATCTTGAATACTTTGTTGGATGCATTAACTTAGGCTTGACTGGTCTTGCGAGACTTGACTGGAACATTCCTTAGTAAGAAGACATTGATGTTAAGCATTAACTCAAGGTTTGAGTTTTCAAATCGTGTCCCCGCGCATCAGATATCTTGAACTCACAACTTGCAATTTGGTTAGATCAATACTCTTCATGATCATCGCCACAACTAACAAATCAGGAAGATTCATTAGTGGAAAGTCTGCAACCGAGAAGTCGAGTGTAACAT